ATCTTCCTAAATCCTTTGGGATCGGATTTGAATTGACGGAGACATGCCGAGCCAGGCTGATCTTGCTAAGTTTTTGACTAACCCTAGATCCATCCACCCGGACAAATTGTTACCTAGGTTTTCAAATCCAGTCTCGGCATTGACATGGGGCTGACAGACGGGTTCCAGATCTGGGAGAGTAATGAAACAGGGGATGAAGAACAAAGAAAAATAACCCCCTCTGGACCGACAGGCCATTACTCCTGGACAAATGACTCGAGAAGTGTTACAGAGTCTGATATGTGACGCATGATTGGGGGGCGACGACATGACTTGTATTCCTCAGGCATGAATATGCCAAAGGGAGCGGATTAGCGCACATGCATGAGGTCGATCCTTGCCCGGGAAAGTCAGGCTTTTGACAAGTGACATCCACCGAACTCTTTCCCAGTACCATGTACTGTAATCGTGTCACAGCCTAACCGCAATCTCCCAACAAGAAGAACCAATGGCTCGGGTCTGTCTGATGGGCGGCTTTCCGATCGTCTATGCCAGTGGAGCACGCCATGACCCTGTGAGTGGTGAACCAAGTTGAACCCGCGCGCTAAGGATCCTACTTTCATTATTTCATCTCCATCACAACTCCATTTTTCAGCTTCGCCCTCAAGAAGGCCTCGTGGGCCTGGTCGCATCGCTCGATGAACTGAACTGGAACCATATCGGGAACTGTCCCACGCAGGTACTCCGTTCGTTCGTTCGTTACATCGACTCCTTTCCGGCTTCCACAACCGGTTAACGTCTCGCTAGTAAAGTTATGTTACTTACTAAGATAAGGGTGACAAATGGCCCATCCTTGAGTCCAGTCGGGTCCCTGTCATCTCATGCAATTCCTGTGGTTGTCCTTTAAAATATGGACCTTAAAGTTCGGCTGATCCATCGATCAGGCAACCCGAAGTTTGGGGCGAGGAATCCCTCGTGGTGTAGGGCCAATGTCAAACGATCTCTCTGATTAATGTTGTCATATTCGCACTCCGAAACCCTATGTGGCAGCCCAGCTCCCGAGTGTTATCCGATATTAATCAACACCTTTTTTTTTTTTTTTACCATCTCTTGATGACGGCACGTCAACTTTTCCCCTCTTACCCCCCCTAGGCGACGACCTGAGATGTCATATGCACGGGGCAATGGATCTTGCATATTAATAGGTAGTCACACCAATCATATTCAGCCACTACGCCTTCTCATTCGCATGAGCTGGTGAGTTTAGGTACCTGTGATTTCCTGGTTTTCATGTCACACCTCCTGGGAGGGGCACGCTTGCTGTACTGTACTGTACTGATTCTGCACCTGATCTCGTGAATATTAGCAACCCAAAAAATGCTCTAATTACAGAAAGATGGAAATTATTGCAATAAATCTCCGTCCCTTCTGAGCAAGGTACTAGTACTCTTAAGTATTGAAAGGGGGATGCACTATATATAGAAATCAGAAAAGACACAAATCCAACCCCGGGAGAATTCTTCGACAAAGAGAGAGAGAAAAAGAAAAGAATAAAACGGCCCTTGTTTTAGGTTGAAAAAGATCTGACGTACAGTGACGGCAGCTGGATACCGACGTGGATCCAAGTTGGACACCCTCGATTGCAGCCCATGGCGAAAGGAAGAAGAAGAAGAAGTGGGGGTTTCACGAAGAGCACCTCGGCGATCAGATCCCTGGCCTGGAAGTTGGTACATATCTTGTCAACAAGCCAAGACTGAATGAAAATCTTAGGTTTAGCTCTCTGTCAACCAACTCACACAGCCTTGCCCCCTGTCGGGTTTAAACTCTGTTCGCCTGTCAGTGACACTCGCTGGTACCCGGTGTGATATCTCAACGAGTATCCCGATCGAACATGCCCGTTATGAACTGCTTTGCAGCGGGAGATGCGGGAGCGGCAGCCATTGCCGTCAGTGTTCACATCACCCTACATAATTGCTACACAATTCGCCTAACGCACCTTACTGTCTAGTATAAGCTATGTTGTTGTGATCTCCATTACTCACCCTCCGCGTCCTTGACACAACTAGCGATGCCCACCAGTGGATCCAACCCAGCGAGGGACAGCCGATCTCCTACCACTTGGATTTATTTTATTTTCTTTTATTTTTTACTTCTGCTGCGCCTTTTTTTTTATCCTTTATTTTTTTTAAAAAAAAAACAAATTCATTTCTTTATTTTATTTTGTCTTTCTCTCCCTCCCTTTTCCCTTTCCCCTCCCTTCTCTTAAGCCTACTCTAGAGTAATGGATTTCAATGGAGACCTGTATGCTAAATTTTGTCTAGATTTCTTTTCACATATTTATTTCTGGAAATATTAAATGCTCTGTACCCGCTCGACCAGCTTTGCTCTATATTCTTCCTAGCCCTTGGGCTTATTTTAGACTTTACAGCCATTCCTGCTCCGGACCGCTGCTCTGTGAGAAAGTTATTTGCTTCCTTACGCCTGTCGGCTGCACTGGACTGATAATAGTAAGTAATACCTAAGGGGCCGTCCTAGAATTACGAATCTATTTCCTCGGGTTTACCATTAGGCCCTTCATGCTTGGTACGAGAGCCGAATATTCGCTTGGGATTAGCGAACCGCATATTTGTGATGGAACATTTTTCCGTCTATTCCTGTCCATTTACCTGACTCAAGTGGCATGTTCACACATTTTCTGCTTTCGTACGTTGTTCCATTTAGTGTGTTTTTTTTTTCTTTATTTTTCTCCACCCTGATCATAATGTCGGACGGTCATTTCGATACTTCGGGTGGGTATAGCTTCAAGCACAAACAGATTTGCGCCACTGGTGTGACCAATACTACGGAGCACCACTAAGTTACACATGCCCATTGGGGGCACAATGTCATTCAGCGAACACTTAACCCAAGTTGGTATAGCAGACGCGGTGTTTCGAAAAACGAGAACTAAGCCATTAGCTCGTTTCTGGAAGCCCGCTAGTCATGAACTTCTTGGGACAGTGGATTGAAGTTTCAGCCATGCTTTGTGGCTTAGTGCGGCCCTAATTCTAGCGATGCTGTCATCTCGTGTTTTACTTACTGCGAAAAGTTCACAAGACTCTATAACCATGACGGTAAGAAAACATCGAACGAGCCTGATCGATACATAGGCCCTGGAGGCATATTGTGATATTATATTTTAGGTTCGAGGTAGCAGCAATGCGATCGCGATGAATTTGAGATTAGCAATAGTTGTGGCATTCGACGTTACCCCATTCCGGGATATAGGGCGGCAATAGATGAAATCTCATGCATACACGTAGAAATACATACGAAGATACATACATACAAGCGGAGTACATCTATACGGGATTCCTATGAAGCTACTACTTGCACAGGCAGATGGATAGTTCTACCTAGGTAGTTCCGGAGAAGACAGTTGACACCATACTAGGTACAGTGTTTATTGCTCTGAACTGTTCTTCTGCAACGCCACCTACCCAGCGCACGATCGGATATTCTGGTTATCTGTTCTGTCTTGGATTGCTTTCCCTTTTCCTTTCCTTTTTTTTTTCTGGGACCCGAAAAGCCCCCCCCTTCTTTACCGGCTAGGTTTTCTCTTTGGTATCTGCAGGCTGGTAAGTCGCTTCCAGATCCCTCAGACCCATCTGTCAAGACAACCTTAAGAATGGGCTGACCTGATAGGGCCCAGTGCAAATTGAATTAAATTAACTAAGAGATGGATTATTCAATTTTGATAAATCGTAAAACTTTCTTTCGTCAATTAATTTTTTCTTGGGACGGGCCCCTCTTTCTCGTTTCCCCTTCCCTCAGCCTGTGCATGCCTTTGGATACCGACGGAGGGAGTGACGGTCGACGGTAGTTTGTGGCTCGTCCCCACTCCCACCACGATCGTCACTTTTGCTTGGATCCCTGCTGTTGCCTCTTTCCATGGATAGCATAGTCGATATGGAACTGCTTATGGGGGAGCGTGATTGACTGGCGTACCAAAGATTTCTTTCGATCTTTTGTTTTATTTATTTCCATAACATTTATGATTTCTTTTATTTTTTTTTTCTTTAAAAAAATATATATATATTTATTTTTCTATGTACAACAGGTTGTCATGCTGGATACTCAGAGAAAGCAGCGTGCAACATCAAAAGCGGTAGCGACTGAAGAAGGGGTTCGTTATTTTTATTTACTTGATTCCCTTTTCTTAGTTTTGCAACTAAATTTTTGTATAGGGTACATGATTCAGTCAGCAATACTCCATATTAAGGGAAAGAAAGGGCGAGCCCAATATTAAAAATACACATGGGAAAAAAAAAAGGTAAAAACAAAAAAAAGGAAAGAAAAAAAATTGGGGGAGAGAAGGAAAAATGAAAAGGAAAATCCGAGCAACACCTTTTTTTCTTTTTTGGTTTCTAGTTTTTAATTTATTTTTCTGAAAGAGAGATCTGATCCACTTAACCCAGATCCAATTGTTGAGCTTGCCTCCCTCCTTCCCTTGCATAACCTTGGTTCAGCTGTCTCCATCGTCATCGTGTGCGGCAATGTCAAGCTACTCTTATTTCAGCTCCTGGTAAGTATAATTGTTATTATATTACTTGTTCGCCCATGCCTCCTCTAATCCTCTCCAAATTCTTTCGAGGATTCCTATCACTATAAGGTTATCTTTTCCGCTCGTCGCCTACGCTTATCCTTCGTTTTTCTCTTCAATACCTTAAAATCCCCTCCTTTACATTCTTCTATCACTCTGCCCGCAGTTTCCTTCATTCCCCGGAAACTATATCGTCCATTCCGTAACCACCCACACTATCGCATCTCTGATCTTAACGGCGTTATTCGCTGAATCATTCCCCATAGCCTAATAGCCCAATAATTCGGGTTATATATTTATCGTCGGAGCCGCAGGCCGGCTATACTATTGTGTGGTTATTCATATCTCCGAGCCTGGCCTTCTTTTGTGACTACTACGGGGTCAAGTGAGGTTTTCGCCTATCCATTCGCATACTGCGCCCTTACGACAGTTCCTTTCTATGTCCCAGCCCCGTGAATTGGGCAAGGGTTCTGAGAAAATGGCCATCTCATATGCGAGTGGGCTGGAGGCCGATCATACTCAGGTCCTTCCCTCCTTCAGAGAGGTGAGTTCAAGAATCATACCCAGATCAAATTCGACACCTGTCTTAATGTAGTGACTAACGTGCCATTATTAGCTACTCCCCCCTCACCTTCACGATGAAATTGAGTCGACTTCCTATCTTAGTGCTCGGCAACATTCGCGCGAGCGCCCCGCATCAGCAAGCCGTGATATGACTTCCAACCCCAGGCCTTTATCTGGAGATTTCGGTCATTTTCAGCCCCAGCTGTCCCGGAACACACCACATTACCCTTCCCGTGGTCCCAGTCCTATCCTGCCGCCTATCAGAGATCTCCAACAGGGATTGAATGCATCGACTGTCCCTTTCCCGGATTCCAGAGGGCTTTCGAGACCGGACCCCTTTGGGCCTACCACACAGGAACTTCGGGGGAGACCTGCCGGCGCGCCTGGTTTCTCTTCAGCCAATCGTCCTCGGCCAATGGGTGAGAGAGGTGGCACAGATGCCTACAATGGACCGGCTGTCATACATAACCAGATGGCCTATCCTTACCCAATGGCCTACCATAGCGATTCCGAGCAGACATCCCCGCAGGGATTGTCGCATACTCAACCTTCGAACTTCGGCATTTTGGGTGATCCGATCGACTCCAAGAACAAACGTAGGCGGGGGAACCTGCCCAAGCCAGTCACTGATATCTTACGTGCCTGGTTTCATGAACACTTGGACCATCCTTATCCTAGCGAGGAGGATAAGCAAATGTTTATGACCCGCACCGGGCTCACTATTAGCCAGGTAATTATATCTTGTGCATACAACTCATATCTCCGTACTAACAAGATTGTACAGATCAGCAATTGGTTTATCAATGCGAGACGGCGACAGCTACCTGCTCTCCGGAACCAGATGCGAACTGGTGGAAGTGATCTCGATTCCCAACGCCAATCCCCCTTTAGCGATGTGGAACATGCCTCCTCAGAATCTATGCCATCCCCCAGCCAGCTAGCCTCGGCGAGGTGAGCGATCATGACTGTTCTGCCTCTATCGACGTTGCCCCCACCGAGCCTTATCTTATCCGGAAACCCTTGGCTATTCAAGGAGAGGGCCAACTCCCTCTCCTTTTTTCTCACGAGGCATATGCAGCACATCATGATTTATGGGACAGGGGTTGTCAAAACCGAATAGACGTACGAGATCAGGTTGACGAATCTTCTTTTTTCCGACTTTAATAATTTTTATCGCTATCTCTATGACCCGAGTGACATCGATGAGATCATCTTGATACCCTCTACCGTTTCACTAATCAATTCCTACGTTTTGCATGAAAGCAGTCCGCAGTGGTATGAGCATGCGCCGTGACGCTTGGGAATGATTCAAACCACTCAGGCCACCGGACTTCTCTTTCCTAATTTGGAGTTCCTATAATTACTTACACATGATTGAGCATTCGAGGTGTTTGGATTTTCCTGTTTTGGGGTTTTCTGCTCTTTACATAGCTGGTTTTCTTTTTCGTTTTGTTCGTTTCTTTCCTTTGTGACGAGATTCTGCCAATGAAGGCGAACATCAATGACATCCTATGTACAGTATCGCGTATGGTTGATGGCAACATATTAAGGGCTAGACTGTTTTTCTTTTCGTAGTTTTTTTTCTTTTTTTTTTTCTATTTTAATCAAGGCTTTTGGATTTGGCATATTGTTGATAGACAAAACGGAACATTGGTTCGTCAATATTTAACTGATAGATTGGAAATGGCTGTTTCTTGAGTCCTGACAAATCCTTTGCAATCTTTACCCCTTTTCTTTGTTCCCCTCCTTTTTTTGGGGGGAGGGGGAGGGAAAGACTTGGCCCTCTCATAAGCATTACCACGGTTTGCTTGTCCGCAACCTTGTTATCTTACATTTGACCCCGATCCTGGTTCCCAGGGAACGTGCGACGTCGATTACTGTACTAGTAACAACTCCGGTTTTAAAAGTGCAGATCCTGTCAGATTCAGCGCAGGGAGGAAGTGGCAACCAAAAACGACTGAATAATCAGGGCGACAAAAGTTACCCTCAAATAAGTTCTCGCTGGGGCGAGGAATGGCCATGGAAGACCATTGCAAGCCGACCCGTGGACCTGGAAACGAGGCCGGAACACACCGAGCGGTGACAGAAACCGCGCTGTCACCACGTCATGAGGACCCTAAATTTTGGTTCCGGCTGGGCGGAACAACTCGATTGGGAGCGCTTAATTGCCGGCCTCGTGGCCCGTTCAAGATCCTTTCCCTCACAAGTCACTGGGGCTGGCTGCATCTGAGAGTCGGTCAACCAGGGCTAGTAGTCGTATGTGGCTCCAACCGATCCTGGTGTGTGGCTGAGCCTGGCCGTAGAGGGGGTGGCGCTGTTCATTCTTCATTTTCAACTGGGGACAGATACGAGGCATGTCGATCGATCAATCACCGATGTCAGTTTGCCACCTCAGCCTCTGGATAATTCGAAGCGTACTAGTATGCGGGTCTACATTGGGCTTTACCGGTTCTAGCGCGCTCTTTGCTCTTCTTGCGTTGCAGTGTCAGTGCGGGATGCAAGCGAGACGGATGAGGAAGGATAGCAATATTACATTTCCGACCTACTAGGATTCCTGACAGTGACACAGAGGATCGATCGCTCATGCATGAAGCATGGGGTTGAAGTGGATGGGGGAAAGCCAGTCGGGATCTATCCGATCTATCACATGGCGGTGAATGGCGCTGTGGCTCAGCAGCTGTGGCACTCGGGTCCCGGGTCCCGGAATTTCCTCGGGCGAAGATCCCCCCCCCCTCATCAAGTGATTTGATGTCTAGACTCTAGAGATCGAAAGAATGCGGCCAGCCATGATAACGATCCGGGTCTGGCTTAGGGCTGGGAATTATGTACTTTGTAACTGAAACCGAAAAGGTCTCAGAGAGGGGGCCCAGATGAATAACACTACGGAGTAATGGGGAAGGAAACTACACCACGAAAAGGTCCAACGGTCATGCAGGTGGAGAAAAGAACAACCTGGTAATGGCAGTTGCCAGCATGATTCTGATTTACGGAAAAAGAAGGAGTGATATACTAACAGGGTAGGTAGAGTAGCATTGACCTCAATTCACCGACAGAAGTGCTACTATTGACATTGACAGAAACCGGTAGTTAACTAAGAAATCGGGCGTAACTTACTAATTGACACGGAAATTCCCCTTCGGGCTTGACCAAAAACCAGGAAACCATCCATCTGCACACCCCACCACCGAGACGCCCGCAGCAGATCTTCCTGTCTTAACTTGAACGAAGGATCGCCAAGCCGTGAAAATCAAGCGATTAGCGTTTTCCGACAAGTTCTTGGGGATGCGACCCTGCTACGGTGGGAAGGGGTGGGATCAGAAAGAAATCGCCGAGCAAACCCGTCCTATCCCTACCGTCACGCCGATAATGAATTACTAGTGCTGTTTCCGGCAGTGTCAGCCTGCAGCGCAGGGAACCGTCGGTGTACATTAGTTGGTACGTCGGTTGGAAAGGAACTTTTTCTGCAAGGTAGGTTTGTGGGGGTCAGTAAGGATCATGCAGGCCACGAGATCCACTCCTCACTAACCATCAGTTCATTACTCGATTGGTACTTTGGGATAACTAGGGCAAATACTTCAGAAAGAGAGGAGCCACGCACCAGCCACTCAAGGTGGTTAGTACGATCCACCCATTTGATTGATTTATTTTGGATCTTTATTCTCCTGTCAATTTCAAATTCAATTCCTGTATTTTTATTTTTTTATTTTTTATTTTTTATTTTTTATTTTCTTTTCTTTTTGGCGTAAAGTTCACCATGCATGCAGCTAATTATTCCTCCACCCTTGAGTCCAGTAGACCTTCATGTCGATCGACCCCAGAAAACCAACCCGTCAACATACTATCTATAGGATCATCGCAATCCCGTCAAAGCTTCTTGGGCCCGATCGCACCGGTGTCTGGGTATAAAAATAATAGTCTCATACCTGCCGCTTAGAGAGATCGACACATACCTCACATCGTTGCCGGCGCTCAGACAATTTAAATATCTGAAATCCAATTCCTGGCCAATCGCATCGCGTGGAACTTAGACCCAGCATTGCAATTGTCAAAAGGCCACCTTCGATACCCAACGCCCTGGGAAAATAACCCGCTCACGTTAAAGTCCTAAAGGTAGATACCTAGGTAACCACCCAAGGAGGATCATACCTATTTGTTTAAGCGATGAACTATCTTCGCCCTTGAATCCGTGATAGTCAGGGTCCCTGCCGTCTCAGACCTTCAATGACTCGAGAATTCCAAATGACAGCTTCATTTTCTGCATTTCCTATTTTTTTTTTTAAAAAAAAAAATAATAATAAAAATAAAAACAAGAGACAGAAAAAAAGATGCAAAGTGTCACCATCCCACCCCCCCACAAACCCAAGTAAACAAACCACTACCAACCAACCTCCCACCACCACACCGATAGCCTCCATTCAAATCTGATCCAACACACTCACTACCCCCAAATAAGCCGCCGACATTAGTGACCACCTGCAAACTGCACCATCACGCCGTTCAGGTTTCTACCCGATGCCTCCCGCATCCCGGTATTCGGGATTTGACCAGGGATATACTACTAGTAGTATCATATGCAGGACGTGTGTACTTGTACGTGCAGGCATCTAAGCGGCCGTGCGTTCGCAGCGAATAGTCCTGTTTCCTGTCCCTTCCCTTTTGCTTTTTACTTACTTGTATGTATGTATGTACATACATAATTAAATTACTAGTAGTTACGTACGACGTATCTTACCTGGGTTACTTTGCTCTGACTTGGGTATGGTATGGTATGGTATGGTATGTATGGATGAATGAATGAATCATGTATATCGTGTATGGCTGGCTACCTTTGGGATTGTTTTCTTGCATGATGGTGTGCTGAGTTGTGTGTGTCTGTGCGATGGTATCCGGGTAGCTAGCAGCTAGTAGCTAAGTCGCCGGTAGCTACTCTGGCTTACATGCCCTGGAGAGGCATGCTGTGGTTGTGGGTTGAATGTGTTGCGTCATGGCTGGTGTGCGGTTGGTTGCTGTCTCTTCTCTTTCTTTTGGGTGTTCTTTTTCATGCTGGTGGGTACTAGTAAGGCGCTGCTGGGTTGAATTATAAATATAGGGGGTCTGTGCGGTGTGCGTTTCTCTCCTCTCCTCTCTTCCTCTCTTCTCCTCATCTCTGTCTCCCTTCTTCTGTATGGGTCTACTTGCGTTCGCTGTGACGGTGGGCGAGGGAGTATGTGCAGATACGTACGGGGTGTGTGTGGGGGGGGTTGAGGTTGTAGTCGGGCTTTGGTTTTGTTTCAGGCTCGGGTATACGTTGGTTGGGTAGGAAGATGTTGTATCTAGTGGGTATTGTGGGGTACTGAGTGAGGTGTTGGAGCTAGATAGAGGGGTCTATGTGCTGTTTGTGGAGGTTACGTGATATTGCTGGCCTTGGGGCTATATTTTATGGATGGTGTGTTGTATATGACGCAAAAGGAGCTTTTATATGTAATTTGTGCTTATATTGTGGGATGCGGTTGACGTTAGAACTAGGATTATAGTCGGTGGTTGTTGTATACGTTAGCTCTTGCTACAAGATACTCGTACATGACCGATCTTGACTTGGTATATGAGAGTCCCCGGAGAAGCTTGTTAGCTATAGAGAGCGTCCTATCCCTGTGATGATGGACTGAATAGTGGCTATATTCGACTTTTGGATACTATTCCCGGGTATCTATACTAGTAAGTGTATATGCTACCGTAGTTCAGGGTAGGTAGTTGACTGAGGCAATGGCAAGTATTTAGTAGTCATCTTTGAGATTAAAAATTACATACATCCATCACTCCTGAGTAAGTCTAAGAGGACAGAAGAGACATACTCACTAATATGGAGACGTTCCAGCTCCCGTCTTTCCGTTGTGCCTTGATCTCTCCGTCGGAGTGACTAGCCCTAACGGTCGAATACGAGTCGAAAGCTCCACAGCTTCCTCGATACCAATAGTTGAATAGCCCTGATCACCGATATCCAGACGCTGTGCCAAACGACATCCTCCCAAAATAGGAGCCATGCAATCAGCGAAACCCAAGAGCAGGCTTCATGTAGAGTCGACCACCATGCTTAATCTCGATCTCGCGAAGATCATGGCAAACCTTCTGCCACAGCTGACATCGCACGTTGTCGAAAGCCGGCTCCCCGTTCTCATCATCCCAATGAAAGGTCGTACCATATCTCGGAAGGTTTTTGAGCGCCCAAGCGCGATATCCAAAGTCCCGCTGCCCATGACCATGCTTATCCAGACGCAGACGCTCCCTGCCAGTTTCTACATCTCCATCCGCAATGCGATCCCTACTCACGCTCTCCGGCACGTGTTCCTCATCTGCAGAATCGTTCTCTCCCACCTCACCCTCGTCAGTGATATGTTCCTCGTCATCAGTGATCATCTCCATCTCACTCTCAGCCTCGCCCTCATACTCGCTCCCCTCCATTTCGGAATCAAGCTCACTCAACTCCTCATCCTCGCTGTATTCATCCCCCAGACAGCCCCGAAACCCTCCCACACATCCACTCCCATCCCCGGTCTCATACCCCTCATCCACAACAGGGTTGACCTTCTTGAGCTTGAACCGGTCATCACCCCCAAACTCAATAACCAGGAGACACTCTTCCAGGAACTTGGCCATCTCAGCCCACCACCCGCGGTTGTCCGGGGTGCCAACGGGAATCAGGGCCCACATGGTATACAGCGAGGCATAGTAAACGTAGCGCATATTGAGCGGGTCGGTAACCAGTTTCGCAAATCAAACTAAACTAGACTGGAATGGTGATACCGGCGGTGGGGTTATATGCTCCAGTGGCTGAATGACTTTCGGTTTTGGTGCAGAGAGGAACGTGGATAAAGGCTTTGTTTCTCTTTGTATGTATGACGGACCCAGTTATCCCCCTACAACCAGAAAGACCATCCAAGATAGATAGATAGATAGATAGATAGATAGACAGACAACACCCCCCAAAAGATACACAGTGACGATACTTCCGGTAAAGATAATATCTGATACCAAGATAACTTGACCTTCGGGAACCGCATCTCTCCCCGGCGATATAACTCCCGCTCCGGGCCGTGGATATCTGTCTGTGCCGGGCGTGTGATTGTTGGCTAAGCTGAATTGAATTGTGGTGATTGTCCGGAACTTTCTTTGTGAGTCTCGGCGTGCGTGTGGTGAAGGACTAGGGTTTATTGGCGCGGTGATGTGCGCTTTGTGGTTTGTTGTGTAGAATGGCATTGTGGTTGGCTTTTTGTGAGGGGGATCAGGGGTTGGATTTATTTCTTTTTTTACTTCTTTTTTTGTCTGTGCTGTTGCAGTCTTTGGGGATGGGATTGAATGGGATAGATCTATGGGACTATACAATCCTGGTTGGGGTTCTTGGGGTGTGGCCCTGAGGGATAAAGCATACGGGTTGGGTCAGTAGAGTAGATGCTATGCTATAGATACTTGGTAGTATGTCCATGAAACCACTCAATATGCGGTATAAATAGCCTGGCCGAAATATGAACATCGCACCTCTACACAAGACTCTCTGTACCCGAGGATCAAAACCAAACCACGACCCGAGAAAAGCAACCGCAGCAACACCCCTATCCAATCAACCACTCAAATACCAACCAAACACGGCTCCAAGCACCCTCGGTATACAATAAATAACCCTCAAACCTAGTCCTGCATGTCCAGTCCCGGAAAACAAAGACAAGCTTGGCTCTTCTCTTCCATCGATCATGTAATCGAATGAGAGGATGAGTCCGGGTTTTTGCTGGCTGGGTTTATCCCTGGACTTTGTTTGGCTGATATGACTTCGTACTATATATAGGTGTTCTTTGTGATGTGAGGCTGGGCTAAAGATAGGGACAGGATAGCGGGAGGTGAATGGTTTGGTCGTGGTCATATGGTAGTTTAACCCTCGGGATTGTAGGGATCAGTTATAGCTTGCTTGGTGTTTTGGTTAATCAATTCAAATTTCTGTACCTTGGTACAGGTTATTATTGAACGGCTTGATGGTGTGGATACTATCTACAGAGAGTTGTGTGATTAGAGCTTGGGCAAGAGAGCCCTAGTTCATAGTTAAGGTTGATATAAGTCCTAGTTACTTATATTCAGGGCCAAGGAACGTGGAGAGACAGGTTAGTACCGTCAGCCCTACGAGTCTACTAATGAAGGTTTCTTAATGATTGTAGCAAGAAACGTTCAAGGGTTACACTAGTAGAGGCTTGGTGCAGTGTTAATGTGGAGTCCATGTGTAGGTATTTCCTTTACCGTGTACATCAATATTTTCCTGAGGTCTTCATTGGAATGTCTCGAGTTGTAGAATATGTGATTGCCAATGACCTACTACAAGGACAGTTTTAACCCAACAATATGTCCATTAGGTATTGCTACCAGATAATCTATGATGTAACAACCATAGTTTTGATAGTAAGAAAAAAGCCCGGCTCAACCAGGCAAGAACCAGAAAACCACCCGCTAATATCAACCAAACAAAGAATCACACAAATGTACGCAACCCAAAGTCCGAACATACATCCCAAATGCATGCGGTAAACCAAATATACCAGACCTAAACAATGTATGAAACCGCCGAGCTCAACTCAGCTCAACTGCACTTCTTGAAAGATATATATGCCATCACCAGGTTTCCTAGTCTCGTCGTTAGTCATGAATCAACAGCAGAGAAATCGTAATCACTTACAGCGATGTACTGGCCAGCTTCCTTCTTGTTGTCCCAGAACAATTTGGCCTCCTCTTCGTTGAGGTTACCCTTAGCCATAGCCACATCAACGAGAGCAGCCTCAACGCCCTCGCCCATGCCCTTGCCGCTACCGCAGACAAAGACACGTCCGTCCAGCGCGTTGATAACGTACCAGACCAGGTCGGCTTGTTGACGAACCTCTTCCTGGACGTACTTGCTTTCACCACGACGGCTCTGAACCACGGTTCGTACTTTTTCCTCATCGACGCCCCACTCGCCGCGGTAGAGCTCGTCCAGCAGGGAATCACGCACACCTTGCAGAACCCACACCTTGTTGGCACAGTTGGCCGATTGCAAACGGCGCTGGACGAAACCACGGAAGGGAGCAATGCCCACACCAGCACCAATCAGGAGCATGGGGCCGTCCGAATGGAACCGCTTAGCCAGTGGGTTGGCCATCAGGCCTCGGAACATGGGGACATGAAGGTTGAGAGTCGAAGGGTCGATGCCCTGGCGCTCCGCCTCGACCACTTGCCGTGCCAGCCGCTCAAGGTATCCAGATCCTACGCCGGTTCGCAGTCCGCCCTTCCAGTCATTGGACTCCGCCACACTGACGGCAACTTCGACGAGACGGCGGGATTGGCCATCCTTTTGGGCGGAGGAGAGGAGGGGGTCCTGAGAAAGAGAGTAAAAACGGGGCATCAGGGTGTTGAGAACGGAAAGAAGATGGTCCAAAGGTGGCTGAGAGGAGGGGAATGCGTGTAGGAGTTGAGACACGGAGACATGAGAGGCGGTACGGAGATCACAGAAGGCACCTTGACCCTGAGCGGAGGCGAGGAACATGAGAATCTTCTTCTCGTTTGGCTCGCTGGCGTATTCACCCAAAAGACGGAACAGTTCCTTCGAGGGGGAGTAACTCTGAATATCTGAGCACCAGTTCAGGAGCTCTTTGCGCGTTGTGATTAATTCACGGGCTTGGTCGTCACCCCAGATAGTGGGCCACCGGCCCGTGCTTGTGCGCACTATAATCTTCTTATCACGGATCGATTTGGGAACTCCAAGGCAGTTGAAGATATCGTCGACCTCTTCCTCTTTATTCATCGGACACACGCCGATTGCACCGCCAACAACAAAGTCCACGTTGCCACTTTCCGCAGGGTAGTCGGTCACGTCGATGTCAAAATGGTAGGTCCGTTTCTCCGCACCGGACTTGGTGAGTTCTCGCGCGTGGTGTACGGGAGCGCGGTATACATTGTATGGGGGGTGAGGTTGGACGAAGGGAGGGGGGTGATCCTTCGGTCCAAGTTGCATCTCCACAGCCGATGCAGGGATGGCTGTAAAAGACACCGTCTTTGCGGGAAGATCAACAACGTCGGTGAGCTCACTATCGATCGTAAGGAGATCGACGTTCAACTTGAGAGCGTCATAGGCTTTATTCTGAGGTGGAGTCACAACGACGCCGGAGACAGGCCCGTCACCTCTGATCAGGGGCTGGCTACGGCAGCATCCACCGCCGCAACACAACGGCTGAATCTTCTGTGTGCCTGGAGCGCCAACATTTTGCAGGACTCGTTGCATATCGGCGGCGTTCTTGGAAATCAGCACAGTCGAGGCTCGGCGTCGATGGCCAGTGCCATTTTCCTCTGACTTCTGGGTCAGGTCTTCAGCGTCCGACTGGGGCTCAGTAGGAACAGTCGACGGAGATCCCGAGCTAGGAGTGCTATCGGTTTCTACGGACGAAACATCGAAGCTCATGTCGGTCACCGACAGTGACCTCACCCCACGAGGTTCCTCTGGCACCGGGTTATCCGGGTGCGAGGTGGACGACACCGGAATGGCATGGTGATCGCCATTGGGAGTATAAGAGGTCTTTGACACCGCCGTGGACCTCGGCGGTGGTGAAGGAACGGCATGTACTGTTATAGGAACCAAGGTCAGCTACGTAGTCCAGAGAGGCAATTGGCTATAACCGCCAAAGGATGAGCCACATACCCATTTTGTCGGTACGTAATTGATATAATAACGGGGTGATCACTCGTCAAAGCAAGGGTACTGGCCAGATCAATCGAGAGCCGGGGACCAGAGACGTGGTGATTGCTTTTCTGGGGGCGAGTATGAATTTATAAAAAGGATTGTGCTGAAGAAAGGGGGGACGACCAAGCCAAGCGATTGAGGAATGGCCTTAATTAGCAAAAGTGGAAACGACAATGGCCGTTTGACACCAGCAGGATCAGGAGAGCAAATCGGAAGAGTGGACGGGAGCGAGTGGGATGAGGTGGGAATTTGTTGACTCCTCTTCGGCCTGGGGCACAAACCGGCACCGGGATAATGGTTCCGTCGTTGGCACTATGTCAGCTGAGAGTCGATCATGCAGAGAGAAGTTCTTCTCCTTTTCTGGATGAAGAGGAAATCCAATCAATGCGCAATGTGGATTCGAAACGGGAGGAAAAAGGGACAGCAGTCCAGCAGAATGAAATATGTTGAGAGGGGGGGGCGCGCGCTATCACCAACTTGCAGGACAGGCAAATCAGATAAGGAGTGAAATAAGAGTTGATGTGAAGGGAAACAGCCGGAAGAGAGAAAAAATGGGCACACAATCTCGCCACATCGGTTTTCATTCGCGGTGAGTAAACGTCATTACAACTTATCGTACGCGGTGGTAACTTTTCCTTTACCCACTTTTCGCCTTCCGGGCGACCGACCCGGCATTTCTCTGTTCTCCTCCGTACTGGGCTCTCATGGCTTAATGACAATCGATTATACCTGCCAATCCCGCTGCTTACTATCTCTGTGGAATCATAGGAGGAGAGAGATACCGTCGTGAAGGCTCTAGATTTCCGGGGAGCTGACAAGTGTTTAGCCAGATCTGCAGCTAAGCGGAATATTTTACTCTAGCGGGGAAATAGACACGCAGTCAGATGATCGGGAAGGAGCGGTATAACCAGCCGTGTTGGAAACTACTTTCACTCTCTATTGGTTTGAATCGATTGGACTTTGGCCTTTCTCTTTGCTATCGTTTGTTCTCTTT